TAGCTTAGCTTTAGCTTAACTTTAGCTTAGATTTAGCTTAGCTTTACTGTTACTACTAATGCTGCTTTCCTAGGGGCTCCAACTCCTAGGTAGGGTCGCACTGGGATAATGATGATGATGCTGCTGATGATGATGATGATGATGATGATGTTGATGCTGATACTGCTGCTGCTGATGATGATGCTGATAATGATGCTGATGATGCTGATGATCATGATGAAGAAGAGGAGGAGAAGGAGGAGGAGGCGGATAAAGAAGAGGAGGAGGAAGAAGATGAGAGGAGGAGGACGAACAAGAAGAAGAGCATGATGATGATGATGATGATGATGAGGAGGAGGAGGAAGAGGACGAGGGTGAGGATGATGACGCTGCTGCTGCCGATGGTGTTGATTCTGTCGATGATGATGATGCTGCTGCTGATGATGATGATGATGCTGATGATGATGATGGTGCTGTTGTTGTTGATGATGATGGATGATGCTGATGATCATGCTGATGAGGAGGATGAGGAGGACGGGGAGGAGGAAGAGGAACATGATGAGGAAGATGAGGAGTATGAAGAGGAGGATGAAGAGGAAGAGGAGGTTGTGGAGGAGGAGGCGGCGGACGAGGATGAGGAGGAGGAGGAGTTGGAAGAGGAGGGGGAAGCTGCTGATGATGCTGATGCTGATGCTGATGCGGATGCTGATGATGCTGATGATGATGATGATGCTGATGATGATGATGATGATGGTGGTGGTGATGGTGATGACGATGGTGGTGATGATGCTGATGATGATGCTGATGATGATGAGAAGGAGGAGGAGGAATAGAAGGGAGGGGAGTAGGAGGAGGATGAGGAGGAGGAGGGATGCGGATGCGGAGGATGAGGAGGACGGAGGAGTAGGAGGAGGAGAATGACGAGGAGAAAGAGGAGGAGGAGGAGGCGGCGGAGGAGGAGGCGGCGGAGGAGGAGGATGAAGATGAGGCGGAGGAGGAGGAGGACGGAGGAGGAGGATGAGGCGGGGGAGGATGAGGAGGAGGAAGATGAGGAGGAAGAGGAGGAGGAGTGAGAGGATGATGATGATGATAATGAAGGCGCTGATGAGGATGCTTACCATGCTGCTGATGATGACGCTGTTAACACTGATGATGATGATGCTGCTGATGATGATGATGATGATGATGATGGCGATGATGATGCTGATTCTGATGATGCTTCTGGTGCGGCTGTTGATGCTATTGATGATGCTAAAGCTGATGATGCTGATGATGATGGTCATGCTGCTGATGCTGATGCTGATGATGATGGTCATGATGAGGATGCAGATGCTGATGATTATGCCGATGCTGATGATGCTGATGATGACGATGCTGATGATGATGATGCTGACGAGGAGGCGGAGGATTCTGATGCTGCTGATGATGATACCGATGATGCTGCTGATGATGATGGTGATGATGACGATGCTGTTGACGATGATGCTGATGCTGAATGTCGATCCTGATGATGCTGATGATCACGATGCTGATGCTGATGATGATGATGATGGTGATCACGATCATGATGATGCTAATGGGGATGGCGATCCTGATTATGTTGATTATGCTGATCATGATGATCGTGTCTATGGTGACGACGATGCTGATGATGATGATGATTATGATACTGATGACGCTGCTGATGCTCAGGATGGTAGAGATGCTGTTGCTGGTGATGCTGATGATGCTCACGGTGATACTGATGATGCTGACGACGACGATGATGACGATGATGATGGTTATGTTGATGATTATGATGCTGATGATGATGATGCTGATGATGATGATGATGATGATGATGATGATGTCGACGATGATGATGCTGATGACGATGATAATGATGCTGATGCTGATGATGACGATGCTGATGATGATGATGCTGACGAGGAGGCGGAGGATTCTGATGCTGCTGATGATGATACCGATGAAGATGCTGCTGATGATGATGATGGTGATGATGACGATGCTGTTGACGATGATGCTGATGCTGAATGCCGATCCTGATGATGCTGATGATCACGATGCTGATGCTGATGATGATGATGATGATGATGATGGTGATCACGATCATGATGATGCTAATGGGGATGGCGATCCTGATTATGTTGATTATGCTGATCATGATGATCTTGTCGGTGGCGACGATGCTGATGATGATGATGATGATTATGATACTGATGACGCTGCTGATGCTCAGGATGGTAGAGATGCTGTTGCTGGTGATGATGATGCTCACGGTGATACTGATGATGCTGACGACGATGACGATGATGACGATGATGATGGTTACGTTGATGATAATGATGATGATGATGATGATGATGATGATGATGATGATGATGATGATGATGATGATGATGATGTCGACGATGATGATGCTGATGACGATGATAATGATGCTGTTGCTGCTGATGATGATGTTGATGCTGCTGATGATGATGATGATGCAGACGCTGATGATGATGCTGATGCTGATGCT